TTTTGGGGATAAGGAGTCGCAGGCAGATTTTTCGGCACGGACTCACAGCAGATCGCCAATCGCCAGATGTGAACGGGACTTTTGGGGATAAGGAGTCGCAGGCAGATTTGACTTTCGGGGATAAGGACTCACAGGCAGATTTGGCGTGGTTCTGCAGATCGCCAGATGTGAACGGGACTTTCAGGGATAAGGAGTCGCAGGCAGATTTGACTTTCGGGGATAAGGAGTCGCAGGTAGATTTGACTTTCGGGGATAAAGGACTCCCAGGCAGATTTGGTGCGGTTCTGCAGATCGCCAGATGTGAACGGGACTTTCGGGGATAAGGAGTCGTAGGCAGATTTGGCGTGGTTCTGCAGATCGCCAGATGTGAACGGGACATTCGGGGATAAGGAGTCGCAGGCAGATTTGGCGTGGTTCTGCAGATCGCCAGATGTGAATGGGACTTTCCAGATAAGGAGTCGCAGGCAGATTTGGCGTGGTTCTGCAGATCGCCAGATGTGAACGGGACTTTCAGGGATAAGGAGTCGCAGGCAGATTTGGTGCGGTTCCGCCCGCAATTCCAAGTCTTGGCAAAATGCATAGCGTGCATTTGGATGCCATTGAACCTAAATGGCACCCTGAATGTGGTGCGATTTTTTTTTAGCGGTTGTCATGTGACAAAATATGTGAGAATCACAGTAAACCGAGTGTGTACAATTGTGCCTGGATCAGGGCCAAAATTGGGCCCCTGAATTTCAAAAGCGCATAGCGTACTGCATTCAAGTGAACGGGCTGTCCTACGCACAACACGGGTGTGAATCTCGTTTTTCAAATCGCTGGCTAGGAACCCTCATGAACCGATATGTGAATGGGGCCTTATACATGACATTCAGCTCCCAACAGTTGTGTTCGGTCCAAACCCTGAGCTCGGCACAATGACTGCAGTTTACAAGGACTGCGGCACCATCTACCGCTTGGCGCACTAGTCTGCTTTTTCTACGCGCCCAAAAGATATGCTACCTTTTTAATATATCGCACAAATTTCAAAATGGGGGATTCTTGTATTTGAAACGCATGTGTTGCACGCCACAGGAAAACGCAGCGCTAATTATTATTTGTCAACCTTGTTAAAATGTCGCAATCTACGCTATTTTAATGACGCACTGATGATTTATTGCATCAATTATAGCCCACACAAATTGCGACATTTCTGTGAAACATTGCAGATACGGTCTTTCCCATTTCTGACGCACACTGCCATCAAGGGAAACAAATCATTGCAATTCGTTGTTTTGCTCTACTAACATAAATGCCGCATATTCCCCTTCCCCCTCGCCGTAACAACATTGCAAAAAAAAATGTTTTAAAATGAATTTATTTCCTCCTAAAGTTCAGGTCTTAGGCTCCATTCACACTATACTTGAACTTGACTTCCCACTTGCGATTTTGTTAGCGCGGTTCTCACGCGGAAACACGAGTCCTGAACAGAGCAGCGCTTTTTACCTCTTATTCCAAAGTAGCTGAAGGAACACAATTTGGTCTTGAGTCAGGGGCTATTTTACCCTTGTGTTTTGCTGTGCGACAATCGTGGAAAAACCGCACCGCGCCTCACGTTTTGCCACAATTCCAAATTTCCTATATGCAGAGCCGAGACGGGGGGGGGGGGGGGCAAGAGAGGCATTTGCCATGGGCAATGTGATGTGAGGTGGGGGAGGGGGGGCGCAGCGAGGAGATTGAGGGGGAAGAGGATCTGCGCTAGGAAGAGAGGGGGTTTCTGCTAGAAGAGGTGATAAGGTTGGGGGGGGGACTGTACCAGGAGGGGGGATTGGGGGAGATTTGTGCTGGGGGGGATGGGAGGGAATTTGTGCTGGGAGAGGGGATTGAGGGGGAGGATTTGTGCTAGGAGGGGTGATTGGGGGGGATTTGTGCTGGGAGGGACTGAGTGGGATTTGTTCTAGAAGGGGGATTGGGAGGGAATTTGTGCTGGGAGGAGAGATTTGTGTGTGTGAGGGGGGTTGTGCTAGGAGGGGGAAGTGGGAGGAACTTTGGGCTGGGAGGAGGGAGGGGGGGGATTTGTTCTAGAAGGGGGGATTGCAAGGAAATTTGTGCTGAGAGGAAAGATTGGGGGGAAAAAATTTTGCTAAGAGTGGGATTGGTAGGGAATTTCTGCTGTGGGGGGGGGGGGGGGGGGGATTTGTGCTAGGAGGGGGGATTGGGTGGCATTTTGGGCTGGGAGGAGGGACTGGGGGGGGAGCATTTGTTCTAGAAGGGGGGATTGGGAGGGAATTTGTGCTGGGAGGGGGGTTGGGAGGGAATTCGTGCTAGGAGGGAGGAATGGGGGGATTTGTTCTAAGAGTGGGGATTGGGGGATAATTTGTGCTGGGAGGAGGGGTTGAGGGGGGATTTGTGCTGGGAGTACAGATTGAGGGGGGATTTGTGTTGGGAGGAGTGATTGGGGGATAACTTGTACTGGGAGGAGGGATTGGGGGGAGGATTTGTGCTAGGAGGAGGGATTGGGTGGGAGGATTTGTGGTAGGAGAAGGGATTGGGGGGGATTGTGCTGGGAGGAGGGGTTGGGGCGAGTATTTGTGCTAGGAGAGGGGATTTGTTCCAGGAGGGGGGATAATTTGTGCTGGGAGGGGGGTTTGTGCTGGGGGGATTTGTGCTGGGAGGAGGGATTGGGGGGGGGGGAGGGATTTGTGCTAGGAGGAGGGATTGGGGGGGGGGGGATTTGTGCTGGAGGAGGGAGAGTGCTGGGAGGAGGGCTTGGGGGAGGAGGATTTGTGCTAGGAGGGGGGATTGGGGGGATTTGTTCTAGGAGGGGGGATTGGGGTATAATTTGTGTTGGGAGGGGGTTTGTGAGGGATGGGGAGGATTGTGCTAGAGGGAAATTTTGAGGGGTAGAAAATTTGTGTTAGGAGGGGTGATTTTTTTTGGGGGGGGGGATCATTTGTGCTGGGGATTTAGGGGATGGGGGGGGACAAATATTTTTTTTGGGGGGGGGGAATTCAGTGGGGGGGGGGGGAGGATCAATTTGTACTGGAAGGAGGGGAATTTATGCTTAGCATGCAGTTTAATGGTCATTTTTTGGGGGGAAGATTTTTGCACATTTTGGTATGTTCGCCCTGGGCTCTAGATGACCATGTCCCAGCACTGCCCATGTGTGACTGGGGCTTCTGCGCATGCACGCGGTCCTGAGATCTGCCTCCTGGGATTTCTCCATCACTCATCTCAGGAGTTGTGGAATTGGGGAATCTCGCACATGCACAGAAAATAGCACACAGGTCTGTCAGTTCACTGACAAGGGTCCGTGGTGTGTGTGCGCATGCGCAAGGGCTCCAATGCATGCAGACACGCTGAGGTCTGCAGGATCTCTGCGCCTTGTCTGTGCATGCGCTGGAAATGAATTCAAGATGGCGGCATTGGAGAGGAGCAGAGTAGGGAGAACTTTCCTTACAAGCAGGACAATGCTGGACTAGTACGCCTGTTTTTTTTTTATGCTTTTATACTTTTTTTTTTTTTTTTTTACATTTATATGAGGACATGTTTAGGATTGAAAACAATTTTTTGTTACTAAAGGGTGGAGGTCCTCTTTAATGACGCATTGCTGTCCTCTTTAATGACCCATTGCTGATTGATCCCCCCCCCCCGGCCCATGATCCTGCTCCTGTTTAGCATTGCCTTACTATTTTGGGTATCGTGGTTTTTGCGCACAGCCGGCATGCAGTGTGGTTCTCATTACTGTCCAGTCTTCCTGGAATGCTCCCTCCTGCTCGTCCCCAGGTTGCTGTTTGATGTCAGGAATGCCATAGGCGTGTATTGGAGCGCCCAGCCTGGTACAGCTGACTGACAGGGAGGAATCCATATCCTGGGGGGGGCACTTGTCATACTCATCCCTGGGGGGAATCTTCTCTTACAGTCCTAGTCTGTGAAGGAATGCCATTGTGTAATCACAGATGGAGAGGGAGATTGCTCTGTCTACAATTAAAGGGTCAGTCCACCTGAGGCGGAGCCTGGCAGGGATTTGTTTGGGTCACCCATTGCTAGGGTGTCCGGGGCCCCTTTGCTCCTTGGGTGTCTGGGGGGGGGGGCACCCTTTGCTCCTTGGGTGGGGGGGGGGCACCCTTTGCCGGGGGGGGGGGGGGGGGGCACCCTTTGCTCCTTGGGTGTCTGGGGGGGGGGCACCCTTTGCTCTTGGGTGTCCGGGGGGGGGGGCACCCTTTGCTCCTTGGGTGTCCTGGATACCCTCGGTTTGGCACATTCCTGTTCTCACTTCTCGTGTGTCTTGTTCTTGAGATAAATATACATTTATTTTAGAGACACTGCTGAGAAATACACATAGCCAGGGGCGGACTGACAACTTATGGGCCCCCGGGCAATAGGGGATCATGGGGCCCCTGTGTCCTCACCCAACTCAAACCACAACCAAAAAAGCCTAGAAAAGGTACCAGGGGCATCTCATGGGGCCCCCTACTGACCCCGGGCCCTCGGGCAGTGCCCAAGTTTCCAAATAGTCAGTCCGCCCCTGCACAAAGCTCTAGCATTGGATAGGAGACGGTTAGTCCAGGCTGGTGGTCTATGTCTTGGATGCGAGTAGTGAGACCTCCCTGTCATGCTCTGTTCCTGTCCATAGGGGAGCTTTGGGTATTGCTGAGCATCTTTCTTGTATTCCCAGCTCCACCTCCTCAATTTGATTGCAGGGATCATAATGGGCACAGCAGGTGTACAGACCCGGGAACTCAGCGCAGGGATGGTGGGAACCCCTAATAATGGGCACAGTGGGTGTACAGACCCAGGAACTCAGCACAGGGACGGTGGGAAGGGACCCTCATAATGGGCACAGCAGATGTGTACAGACCGTGGAACTCAGCCCAGGAATGGTGAGAACCCCTCATAATGGGTACAGCAGGTGTACAGACCCGGGAACTCAGCACAGGGATGGTGGGAACCCCTCAAATTGATGGTACATCAAGGGTGTAAGACCTGGGAACTCAGCACAGGGACGGTGGGAACCCTTCATAATGGGCACAGCAGGTGTACAGACCCAGGAATTCAGCACAGGGATGGTTTGGGAACCCCTCATAATGGGCACAGCAGGTGTACAGACACGGGAACTCAGCGCAGGGACGGTGGGAACCCCTCATAATGGGCACAGCAGGTGTACAGATCCGGGAACTCAGCCAGAGATGGTGGGAACCCCTCATAATGGGCACAGCAGGCGTACAGACCCGGGAACTCAGCACAAGGATGGTGGGAACCCCTCATATGGGCACAGCAGGTGTACAGACCTGGGAACTCAGCACAACTATGTGGGAACCCCTCATAATGGGCACAGCAAGTGTACAGACCCGGGAACTCAGCACAGGGATGGTGGGGACCCTCATAATGGGCACAGCTGGTGTATACAGACCCAAGATGTCAGCACAGGGATGGTGTGAACCCTTCATAATGGGCACAGTAGGTGTACAGACCAGGGAATCAGCACAGGGATGGTTTGAACCCCTCATAATGGGCACAGCAGGTGTACAGACCTGGGAACTCAGCAGCAGGGAAGGTGGGAACCTCTCATAATGGGCACAGCAGGTGTAAAGACCCGGGAACTCAGCACAGGGATGGTGGGAACCCTTCATAATGGGCACAGCAGGTGTACAGACCCGGGAACTCACCACACATTGGTGCTGGGGTCTCATGGTAGATCTCCTCTCTGTGTGTTGAATAAAGTGTCCCGGGCAGACTAGGATCTGCGCCTCCTGATACCTGCCAGTGCAGAGACATTTACTGTTAGTAAATAGCAGACACCAAACTAACTTCATTTCCACTGACGATTACTCAGCAGTGGGAAAAAAAAAATTACATCTGCATGGTTTCAATTTTCAGCACAACCTTTTTTTGCACAGCATGTGACAGATTTTCCTTTCAGGGGGAATTCCAGATCATACAACGATAATAAAACAATGCAAAACTGCCGGAACTATTACTTTGCATTGTAAATGTTAAAGAGAACCTGTCACTTTTCCCATTCAGGCCAGAGAGACAGGTTCCCCCCCAAGCCCACCCAATGACACCTTAAAGCAGACCTTCACCCACTGCATGCACTGGGCATTATTGCTCTTCTTCCCTCCTCCACCCCCCCCCCCTTCCCCCGGCCATCATTCTTGTCTGAAGTCTTCTGAGGTCCCAGGATGCTTCACCTTTCATCCACAGTGTCCGGAAGGGGGTGGGATTGGCAGGTGTCATCAGAAGGGTAGAAGCACCCAGCATCTAATTATGCCAGGAACAAAGATGGCGGAGTGGGAAAAGGTGCATGGCAGCGGCACAGCGGATCACATCACACAACGTTGGATCCTCTGATCTGGTGAGTTTGTGAATTGAGGACAACCCTGGAAAAGAGGTTAAGAATGTTGGGGAGCAGGGGCGGACTGATAACTCATGGGTCCCCCCAGTCAATAGGGGATCATGGGGCCCCTGTGTCCTTGCCCAAACTCAAAAAAGCCTATCAAAAAGGTACCAGGGGCATCTCTTGGGGCCCCCTACTGACCCCGGGCCCTGGGGCAGTGCCCGAGTTTCCAAATGGTCAGTCCGCCCCTGGTTGGGAGAGAACGGCAGGAAAGGGGAGTGAAGTTCTTCTTTAACTACGCCCCCTTGCCGCTACATTTGTCCAATAGGTATGGAGGAGCGTGTGATTTTCCGCCCCTTCCTCCAAGGTTGCAGTGCTCAGGACTGAGTGTCCAATTGTCTGCTACGAATGCACTAACAAAGGATAAAGAGGACCTGTGCTATGTCTTAAAAGTTACTTCAGGCAAAAGACATACTTCCAGATACACAGTCTCTATGGAGAGTATGGCAACTTGCTGACTCAACAACATTCACAGGCAGCGTCAACTCTCCACAAAAAGAAAAATACTTAGTGGTGGAATCCAATGTAGTTTATTTCAACCTGATACGTTACAAAGGATGTTTGTTATCATTTGTTTGGTGAAAAGAAATTTCTCTCCAAGTCTTATTCAGCAAGGGTGAAGTTGAAACTACAGAATGGCAAATTATTGCAGCTCTGTAATCATTAACGCATCATTAAATGTATTCCTTCAAATGCAAGCAGTTGAAGTGCCTACGTCTGACTTGGCATTAGCTTCCTGCAATCCTTGTACAAGGAGGCGGATAATCTGCATAAACAGGCAATTAGTTTTCCTGCAGTTTGACAAGCATGCTGATAGGGGGAGAGAGCAGTGAGCTCATTAGTCCACTGCTTCTTCTTTCACTGTCTAGTCACAGGCTGGGGGAGGGACAAGTGTAGCAGAAAAAAAAGATCAGTTCTCCAGCCCTGCCTGTTGTGTGGCAGAGCTGTGTAAATCTCAGGGTGGATGGACAGATCAACTGTAGAAATGCTTGGAGTTAAACTTCAATCCTTTCATAGAAATCATTGAAGGGTTCAAGAGGAGATAAAGTTTGCTATTGCTGAGATGATAGCTAACACAGGAAACAGAAACACAGATAAAACAGGAAGAGGACAAGCAGAGGTCAGCAATAAAATGACCTCCTTTACCAAATCAGGTTTCCTGAAAACATGAAAAAGTGTTTTATTCAATAATATAAGAATTGACATCCTCTGCACATGACTCTTCTGGTGGGAAAAGTGACAGCGTGTTCTGGTCAGACGAATCAAAATTCACCACCATACATATTATAGAAGGCGGAGAACATACACCTGTATTATAGAAGGCGGAGAACATACATCTGTATTATAGAAGGCGGAGAACATGCATCTGTATTATAGAAGGCGGAGAACATACACCTGTATTATAGAAGGCGGAGAACATGCATCTGTATTATAGAAGGCGGAGAACATGCATCTGTATTATAGAAGGCGGAGAACATGCATCTGTATTATAGAAGGCGGAGAACATACACCTGTATTATAGAAGGCGGAGAACATACATCTGTATTATAGAAGGCGGAGAGAACATACATCTGTATTATAGAAGGCAGAGAACATACACCTGTATTATAGAAGGCGGAGAACATACATCTGTATTATAGAAGGCGGAGAACATACATCTGTATTATAGAAGGCGGAGAACATACATCTGTATTATAGAAGGCGGAGAACATACATCTGTATGTATTATAGAAGGCAGAGAACATACATCTGTATTATAGAAGGCGGAGAACATACATCTGTATTATATAGAAGGCAGAGAACATACACCTGTATTATAGAAGGCGGAGAACATACATCTGTATTATAGAAGGCGGAGAACATACACCTGTATTATAGAAGGCGGAGAAACATACACCTGTATTATAGAAGGCGGAGAACATACATCTGTATTATAGAAGGCGGAGAACATACACCTGTATTATAGAAGGCGGAGAACATACATCTGTATTATAGAAGGCGGAGAACATACACCTGTATTATAGAAGGCATCTGTATTATAGAAGGCAGGATAACATACATCTGTATTATAGAAAGGCGGAGAACATACATCTGTATTATAGAAGGCGGAGAACATACATCTGTATTATAGAAGGCACCTGTATTATAGAAGGCGGAGAACATACACCTGTATTATAGAAGGCGGAGAACATACATCTGTATTATAGAGAAGGCGGAGAACATACATCTGTATTATAGAGGCAGGCGGAGAACATACATCTGTATTATAGAAGGCGGAGAACATACATCTGTATTATAGAAGGCGGAGAACATACACCTGTATTATAGAAGGCGGAGAACATACACCTGTATTATAGAAGGCAGAGAACATAAACCTGTACTATATAGAAGGCAGAGAACACACACCTGTATTATAGAAGCAGAGAACACGCATCTGTACTATAGAAGGCAGAGAACACGCACTGTATTATAGAAGCGGAGAACACATGCATCTGTATTATAGAAGGCGGAGAACATGCATCTGTATTATAGAAGGCGGAGAAACATGCACCTGTATTATAGAAGGCGGAGAACATACATCTGTATTATAGAAGGCGGAGAACATGCACCTGTATTATAGAAGGCGGAGAACATACATCTGTATTATAGAAGGCGGAGAACATGCACCTGTATTATAGAAGGCAGAGAACATGCACCTGTATTATAGAAGGCAGAGAACATACACCTGTATTACAGAAGGCAGAGAACATACACCTGTATTATAGAAGGCAGAGAACATACATCTGTATTATAGAAGGCAGAGAACATACATCTGTATTATAGAAGGCAGAGAACATGTATCTGTATTATAGAAGGCAGAGAACATACACCTGTATTATAGATGGCAGAGAACATGCACCTGTATTATAGAAGGCGGAGAACATGTATCTGTATTATAGAAGGCAGAGAACATACATACACTGTATTATAGAAGGCAGAGAACATGTATCTGTATTATAGATGGCAGAGAACATACACCTGTATTATAGATGGCAGAGAACATACATCTGTATTATAGAAGGCGGAGAACATACATCTGTATTATAGAAGGCGGAGAAACATACATCTGTATTATGGAAGGCGGAGAACTTACATCTGTATTATGGAAGCATAGCAGAATGTTAGTGTTTTTCAACCATTCCATATCTCCTTGGGTGCTCAAGCAACACCTTGTGTAGTTTCCTAATCTACATACACAGGCACTCTCCATCATCGTCCAAAGTAGAAAAATGATATTATTACAGGTTCTTAATTTCTTGTACTGCATGTTCCTTATTATTTAATAAAAACATTTTTTTTTTATTTTGATGGTGATGAAGGATGGTGGGTGCTGTGTCCGACTATGGAAGCAGAGACAATTTCTTGCCTATTAGCCCTTAAAATGGGCAGAATTGGCGAACAAGGTTGAAATCTCAATGACTTCTATGGGTTTGGCCGCTAAGTTCAGGTTCAACAAACGTCACAGTGGAGTTGCCGATCCCTCAACATAATAACAGTGTCTGTGTAGGTTCTCCTTTATCCAGGTCATGATAAATCTATCAGTAGTCAGTGTCATTCAGTTGGAATAGTTCTGTAAAGCTGAAGATATTTAGTAATGTCTCCAAAACTGCTTCATTAGAACAGAAGAAAGCGACTTGAACAAGCAACGAAATGCCTTCAACATTTCAGTAGAAGTTCAGTTGAATGTGACCAACTGCTACTAGATATGGAAAACAGGGTATGGCTAAATTCCAGCAGTTAAAATGACCTCCTTGACTGGTTGAGGAGGTTTCCTAGGGACATGAAAACTTGCTTTGGTCATTAATCTAAGAATCAAGGTCGAGAAATACTGACTTCTTTTGCTCAGATCTATGCTGGTGGAAAAAGTGACAACATGTTCCAGCCAGATGAAACGCTGAAGAAAAATTCACCCGTGTGATAGAAGGCAGAGAATATGTGGGCTGGTGATGAGATTGTACTGATAGCACATTGTGTGCCCATCGTTCACCGCTCACTGCCATTAACAAATCAACAGGTAAAACTAAAGGACGACTCTAGCTGCGAAACATAACCCTAACCTCCTAATGACCATAAAACATCAATTCTAGAGTTTCTAGACCAGTGGTTCTCAACCTTCCTAATGCCGCGACCCTTTAATACAGTTCCTCATGTTGTGGTGACCCCCAACCATAAAATTATTTACCCAGCAATTATAATTCATGAGTGTCGTTTTACCTCCAATACTGCTGGTTTCAACACAGTAGCTGCTTCCAACACAGTAGCTGCTTTCAACACAGTAGCTGCTAGCTGCTTTCAACACAGTAGCTGCTTTCTACACAGCAGCTGCTCTTTACACATCAGAAATATGTGTTTTCCGATGGTCTTAGGCGACCCCTGTGAAAGGGTCGTTCGACCCCCAAAGGGGTCGCGACCCACAGGTTGAGAACCACTGTTCTTTAGAGTAGAGAAAATGTTATATAAACTTTAATACCAAAAGTCATTTTCTGTTTTTATTTTCAATCTGCGGATTCATTAAACCCTTCCCTTATATGCGGCAGTATGGAGGTTAGCTCTGTACTGCTACGTATATGTGTCACTGTTTGTGTTGGGATCAGGGGCGGACTGACAACTCATGGGGCCCCCGGGCAATAGGGGATCATGGGGCTCCTGTGTCCTTGCCCAAACTCAAAAAAGTCTATGAAAAAGGTACCAGGGGCATCTCATGGGGCCCTTTACTGACCCCGGGCCCTCAGGCAGTGCTCGAGTTTCCAAATGGTCAGTCCGCCTCTGGTTGGGATTGCACTCCATCGTGCCCCGAGCAGTATGATTGCTTTGTCACTAAGAGTTCCTAGTCACAAAGTGATGACTGGGAGCTGGCATGACGAGATCCCAAGCATGTGATCGCTGTGATAGCCATTCACAATGATCAGGAAGTCCATGAAATGCCAAAATGCAAACTATTGTTTCTAGGTCTCACTATGGGTGCATATGGCATATAACACATATATGTATTCTTAGGCATGTTGGAATTAGAAACATTTATGTTGGATCATTTTTTGGTGGCGGGTCAACTATCTTGAAAATGGCCAATTTGGCGCACTTGTGTTTCTTAATGCTTGTATGAAAACACCTAGCAGTGTCCGGTTTCTCTGGAACATTAGGGCCTAGTCTTGCTCATTAAAAGTGTTATGCTACTGGCCATGTTTTACACTGCTTCATCATGCGGTGGTCTTCTAATTTATGTAGGAAACCGCCTACCTGTACCCTTTTTATATTAGTACATTGTCACCTAATGTGCAAAAAAAATGCCCAGCAACTGCTTTATCGTCTTTGGTCTCTTAATTCTTGAATGAAACATCAGCTTGTATCCTGTGTCTCCTGTACATTTTGGCCTAGCCTTGCTAATGAAAACTGTCATGATAATGGCCAATTTGGTGCACTGCTGTTGCTCTCAATTCTTGTAGGAAAACGCCTGTGATCTGTTTCTCTTGTCATTAGGGCTTAATCTTGCTCATTAATATTGCCCCACTACTGGACAATTTAAAATTTTTTTAGTCTTCTGTGGTCTCCTAATTCGTGTAGGAAAGCGCCTGCCCGTGCCCTTTTTCTTTTGTACATTGCTACCTAACTCCTCTTTCAAATGTGCGTTCTGTATGTCTGGTTTTCATCTGTATGTTTACGGATGAAAAACGGACACCCATGTATTTCTATGGACTAGCACAGCCTTTATCAACCAGGGTGCCTTGAGGTGTGTTCAGGGGTGCCTTGGCAAAATGTCTAAAAATTTCCCAAAACATGTATACAAGCCAGCAGTGGAACAAGCCTGCCTTTTAGTTACACAAAGTCGCAAGTTTTTCATTGTCCACCATTTACGATCTTGTAGCCGCCGCTGTCCTGACAACCAATGACATCATCAGTTGATAAGGAGGATGTCAGCTGCTTGCACAGCATCCTAGTTTGACCCTCCCCTGCCCCTCTCCATCAGTGCTGGGGTCAAATTAACTCAGTGATGGATAAAAACTGAGGGGGAAGAGAAACATTGGAGTACTAGTCAGTACCAGTATGAAAAAGTTTGTTTGCTCTGGAAGAATAAATCACCTCTAATATTGGGTGTCCTACATGTGTGGATGTTGCTGCGTTATATAAAACTATTAGAATAGTTTTTCACATTTTAGAATGGGGTGCCCTTTTAAAATTATGGATAGTCCCGAGGCACCCTTTAAAATTATGGACAGTCTTGAGGCACCCCATTCTAAAATGGGGTGCCTCAAGACTGTCCATATTTTTAAAGGGTGCCTCGGGACTGTCCATAATTTTAAAGGGTGCCTTGACTGAAATAAGGTTGAGAAACACTGGACTAACAGATATAATGGATGATCATATGTTAATGTCTGGGTCCGTTAACATCCGTTTTTTTTAACAGAAGAAAACCCTATTTTTCTTCCGTAAAAAAAAAACCCGGAACAGACACAAAACGGATGTAAACGGATGTAAACAGATGTAAACAGATGAAAAACGGATGTAAATGGATAAAAAACGGATGTAAACGGATGAAAGGACTGATGTACACTGATGAAAAAACGGATGTAAACTGATGAAAAACTGATGTAGACTGATCCATTTTTGCTTGGAAAAAAACGTGACTGACCTGATGAAAAAAAACGTGTGAAAGGTGCCTAATAAAACTTTCCTGCTTCCAATCAAACTGCTTTATCATCTGTGGTCTCCTAATTTTTTGAATGAAACCACCTGCCTGTTTCCTGTGCCTTTCCTACATTTTGGCCTAGCCTTGCTCATTAAAATTGTCTTGATAATGGGCAATTTGGTGCACTGCTGTTTCTTAATTCTCATAGGAAAACACCTACCAGTGTTCAGTTTCCCTGGTACATTAGGGCCCGGTCTTGTTGATTAAGAGTGTTCTGCTACTGGCCACATTTTACACTGCTTCCTCATGTGGTAATCTTCTAATTTGTGTAGAAAAACAGCTACCGGTACCCTTTTTGTTAATACATTGTCACCTAATGTGCAATACAACTTCCCTGTATTTTGTCTCTTCCATCTGCCTATGTCCTGTGTCTCTCATACATTTTGGCCTAGCCTTGCTCTTTAAAGCTGTCTTGATAATGGCCAATTTGGTGCACTGCTGTATCTCTTAATTCTTGTAGGAAAATGTCTGTGATCTGTTTCTCTTGTCATTAGGGCCTAGTCTTTCTCATTAAAACTGAATTAAAGCAGAAATTATATTTGGGCTGGACTCTCTCCACGCGCTTTGCAAGGCAGTGGCGCCAAATTCTGGATGGATTAGACGAAACGAATAATAAGCTGGATTAAGGAACAGGAAGGAACTGCGCATGTGATTGAATCTAACATCCAGATAACAAATCACAAAGAACTTAAATGCCCAAGTCATGTGATTACGTTGTCAGAGCCAATCAGCTTTGGTGAAGAACTTCAACCTCGAACAAGTGCGTGACCAGAATTGACATTCATAAGCAGGGGGGGACTGACAACTCATGGGGCCCCCGGGCAATAGGGGATCATGGGGCCTCTGTGTCCTCGCCCACATCCAAAAAAGCCTAAAAAAAACCAATGAAAGGTAACAGGGGCATTTCATGGGGCTCCCTACTGACCCCGGGCCCTCGGGCAGTGCCGGAGTGCTCAAATGGTCAGTCCACCTCTGTTCGTAAGATATAAGCGACGAGTTTTTACTAAAAAAGGGCTTATAGGCGATTCTGTATGGTCTGGTAGATTCTGGTACAGGAGGACTCGGAGGAGGTCCATGGAGAAGTCTGGAGGGGTGACACCATAGTTTTACAGCACTGGGTGACACCAACCCTAGTGACGCCACTGTTTTTCTGGGACTAGTCTTGCTCATTAAAGTTGCCCTGCTATTGGCTAGTTTTTACACTGCTTCATCTGTGGTCTCTCTGGGGCTGCTGTATGTAAACCAAGATAACTGTAAAAGAAAAAAACATTTTTAGGAATTTGTGTTTCTTTTTCCTACGTCACCCTCAAAGCTGCGTGAAAAGGACCATATTCCCATGGTATGTTTTTCAAGCATGGCTTGCCAATATCAAACTGATTTCTATGTGCTAGGGGGTGATAAGAGCCTTTGATAAATGAGGCCCATTTGTGCTGTCCTCCATCTAAATATCATGAGAAATACAGTTGGTGGAATCTGATGTCAGATCTTTATAGATAACAGTGTGCAGATGAATCCCAACATTTCCATCAGTGTGACCTTGTTCAGTCATGAGTCAGCGCGGCCGCGTTCAGTCATGACTAATTCTATACAGTGTGTAGGTGATAGATTATGGAAGATTAGTCTCAGCAATGATATTAGGATGCGCCATGGTTTGCTCAGATGCTGCGATTCTGTAAAAGCATCCTCCAATCAGGGGCGGACTGACAACCCATGGGTAATAGGGGATTATGGGGCCCCTGTGTCCTTACCCAAACTAAAAAAAAACTATGAAAAAGGTACCAGGGGCATCTCATGGGGCCCCCTACTGACCCCGGGCCCTCAGGCAGTGCCCGCGTTTCTAAATGGTCAGTCCGCCCCTGCCTCCAATTTAACACAGCATATAACTCACTGACGGTACCAGCCTCCCTATCATGCTTTCCGTCCTGCCATTTAATTAGTGTGACTATCATCTCTGAGAATGGCCTTCAAAAAGCATAGGCTGGGGATTCCCAGTTCCAACCACTTCCTTCTGTGTCTTGAAAATTTGCTTAGCATGGTAGTAGATCACATCAGATGGCCTGACTTGCTAAAGTCACTGAGCCTTCCCATTTCAGCTCGATACAGCTGTCACAACCACCCTGACATGTCAGTCGAGGCAAGTTGTGTTTTTTGGAGCCCCCTGTAACATTGTTTTATTGCCTGTTGATAATGCCAGTAGATACATAAATTCCCCACTTCCTTTACCAGGGTGACAACTCTGTTCATTTTGAAGTGAAATATACAAGAAGTGTTGTCACCCTGTGGACTCGGGTTGCCTGCACATGTAGTCTTAGATAGAGACCAACAAATAAATGCTCAGCTCCATCTGACATGGTTTATGCAGTCACAACAAGGTTTTTTATCTTGGAAAAAATCATCTGAATGCAAGCTGAATGTTGTAAGCACCTTTGGAAGTGTTGTATGGTTTTTCCCAATCTCTGTAACTGTCAGTTTTGCTGCACAGCTTGGCATGTTAAAGGAAGTGGAAATATAATGGATTTACTGGCGAACCGGAGATAAAACTATGTTTCACCTCTTGGAAGAAGCCAGCTTTGACAAAACGCGTCGGGTACGGTGCTTAGTCACATGATTCACTTTCTTAAGTGTAGATGCCGCAGGTGAGAATGGAACGGCCTGAATGGAACGGCCGGAATGGAACGGCCTGAGGCTTCCACATGGAAGAAAAATATATTTGAAATATATTTTAAAAATATTCTTTCCAAATATATTGACATATATGTGAAATGCTACAATTTTGTCTGTATTCAATATATTTAAAAATATATTGCAATAAATAAATATAAATAATATATATATATATATATATATATAAAAGGGCGGACTGACAACTCATGGGGCCCCTGGGCAATAGGATATCATGGGGTCCCTGTGTCCTTGCATACACTCAAACCACACTCAAAAAAGCCTATGAAAGGTACCAGGGGCATCTCATGAGGCCCCCCTACTGACACGGGCCCTCAGGCAGTGCCCGGGTGCCTGAATGGTACGTCCGCCCCTGATAGATAGATAGATATATATATATATATATAATTCAAATGCTGATGTATAGAAAAAAATCAATCCAAAAAATGATGAGCAACTCAATCCAAAAAGTGTCT